ATGCCCTTATAACGGACTCGATCCAAAATGCAATTTGAATGCTTATATGCCCCTATGCATTGGCTTGGTAGTACCCCAAAGTTCGAATCAATTACTGCCCTATGGGGAAGTTACGAACCTATTAAGTGGGCACGTGCAGAGGGACATCCTGATGCGTCTGAACGAGATCCATTCCATGATCGCACGGGTTGTAGCGGCACCAGATAGCACTACTTAAGCCCTACTCCGACTTCGATTGTTGTAGCACTGAGAGAAGCGCAAGGGATTTTCCTAATGTTACTTTGCAGTAAACCTGCGCTTTTCTAAACTGCTTTACAAATGTTTTGTAACCCTTTTTCCATTAGGATTAGGAGCGGTTGGAAATCTGAAAAAAGTCCTCGTTTTCGCGTTTTTCAAGACAACTGTTATACTCGTTTCAGATTGAATTGATTGAAATCGGACTGAAAGGTATCGCATAAGCTTGGTTGAGACCGATATCCTCGGAAACCTCCATAGCGAAACTGCTGCTTCAGTTAATATTCGGAACTGCGATCACTTTCTGCTTCACCTTTATCACATTTGTACTGTCCTTACTCGTTCCCATCGTTCTCATCTGCTCTACTGTTAAAGGTTCTCTCTGCAAAATGATCAGGACATACTATAAACAGCTTGAAGGAAGGGCTTCGGATCCGAATACTTGTTTAACAATGCATTACGTTGGCTTGGGAATCCCTTGGTAACTTCCCACAACTTGTAACAGCATACCCGCTTATACTCTTATATGACCTCTGGGGATCTGTATGAAAGCGATGCACTCTCAAATGCCATTCTTATTCGAAAAGAAACGAAATGCATGGCTGGGTCTGAATCCACAAGGTTGGCCGTTCACAAGGATTGTCATTGCGTAGTGTTTCAGCGCTCTATCGAGATCGGACTTTGTTCAGACGCTTTCGTCGGCAAGAAAATTCCAAGCGAAAAAGTTTTACAACCAATTTGACGTCTGAAACATTACTGTTAAACTGCAAATAATGTCTTGAACTCTCGAATTCTCGAAACAACCAATTGGCTTTGATATTTGAACATCATCATTCACATAGAGTTCCTATACGTACATTCAATCGTAGAAACCAGTCCTATAAAGAATGTAAACGAGCGCCATGTCACCAGTAAATCTTTCATGGAAATCAATCTCAGCTTATAACCTCCTGGACACTTCTTGTCTAACCACCATCGTTCAGAACAATTTACAGCTCCTTCCCATTCCATCGTACTTTCCCTACTTTTTCTTTTTCGATTCTCAAACGGAATGCGATGAATTTGTCGGCATTTCTTTGACCTACGTACCCGGAAATCAAACTTCAAAAGAAAGCTAAAAGGCACATAGGAAAATGCTGATGGAGGAAAGAAGCGGAAGGAGAGCGGAAAAACTCGATGGCAGTATTTTAGTCAGTCACTGTCAGTGTGTTTTCTCAGTTGAAGGTTACGATCCCCACGCATCGGTCATAAACCTCTGGACGGACGGACACACACACGCATAGCACACTTGACGCACCACAGCTCTGAGTAATATTCGTACACACATACGAATACTTTACTGTAAGGTGACAAGGGCCGTTAGTTGGATTTGGGAAAGTTTGTGGGGGAAATATGAAGTTTCGAAGGTGCTTTGGTGGGGTTCAGGAACAGGACCGGGAGCCAGGAAGTTCTAGACACCGTTCTTCAACGAATTTTGGCCTCCGTCTGGAGGCCTGATCGTTTTATAGCTTGAAACAGCGCCCGACAAGAGAGCAGGAGGTAAAATTCCTGTCTTTCGGGGCTCCCACTGGTCAAACCTGGCCTTTAATGCCCACCCAAAAGCTATTCAAATGGTCGTTCATCAAAGCCACTTTGTTATACAGCCGTCAAAGCCATATTATATGGTATGTAGTTGCATTACGATCGTTTCGTCGTCGTCATTGCAAAGCCCCTGATCGCCTCGCAGCCGTCGCCGTCACCCACGGGTGGGCGGGGCATCGCGACGGGTGTCCCACGTCCATTGGTCGTGGGTACGGTAACGGCGAGGCGGACCCATGACGGAGGCGTGGCGCGGTCGGCCGGCTTGCACATCGGCGACCGACGCACATCGCGCGGCCTTATAAAACTTTTTAACTATCCATTTTACTTTGTTAGTGGCGCGTTTTATTGTATGATGGCTATTTGCTGCCTCCCTACGACGTACGTATCGAATAGGAAGTGTTCTCTCCCTCTCGGCATGTGTTTGATAGGCGCTTATGGGACAAATGTCCGGCTGGCGGTGTTTCATTTGGAAACAGCTAGCCACAAACAGTTATATATACATATCAATGACCATTGAATGTAGTTACGGCATGAGTCGTTAACTGTCGAGAATCACATATTGTCGGCTGGTGGGTGCTACGTAGGGGTGTTAAAGGGCTTTACGGGTTGTCGTTAAGTTGTCATCGTTGTGAATTTATTCGGCCGCCACTGGGTGGTTAAGAATCCCCCCGAATCCCGGCCGTTACCACATAATAAACGACCCGATTACGCCATCAACTTTGACGGGGATAAATTTATTTGTTTGTGATCGCCATGAACTTGAACACTTTGAAATTCGTTGGTAATTCGATTTCCTGCGACCCTCAACTACTTCAAGACCATTCTCAGAAGTGTCCTGAGCATCCAGCATCACCTTTGGTAGGTCTAGTGCTCTAAGACCCCTCGAATTTCCCATTTTTACTTTCAATTTCATCCTTCTTATGGGCATTACTATAGTATGTAGGCTTTCTATCATTGTCGCGTCGCTACCAATCCTTTTCCCTCCTTCAATACCTACTCTGTTCAGTACTTTTGTTCTCAAGCGAACTCTCATACAGTCATCCTTGAAGTGATTTTCTCTCCAGCTTCACTACTTGATTGGTATTCTCGTATATGACCAGTTACCACTGGCAATTATCACCTTTATATCTTGATCTTACTTCCTTTTCAGAAGTCCTTTCCAGGCATTTTCTGATAAAAACCGTTTACTGGCAGCCTTCTATCCTCTTTTCCCCAGATGACACTTTTACGACACTCTGAAGGGTCCTCACTCATAAACCATCAGGGTTTCCCTTGTATGCCTTCTCTAAATCCAATAAGTTCCTCAGTAATTGGCTCTTTCCGGACTTTCAAGCTTTTAATTTATTTGTAAACCTTAGATATGCCTTGAAAACTCCTTCTCCTACCCTTTTAGTGGATATCTCCAGGTTTTCTCCTCAGAATCCTTAATTTTTATAATAATACACAGCAACTAGTTCCCTGTAAGTTGTAGTGCATCCCCGCCTGATTCAGTTCCAGCAAATTGTGTGCACCTACTTTTGTGATAACGGCTGTCAAGCAGTCAGTACCCATCCTCTTAACTTCATCAGCCGCAGGTTTACGATGTTTTTACGATATAATTGGCAGCTTTTCAAAAAGCAACTTCCGAAAATAGTTATGAAGTAATAAATGGAGTGATAAATATATTATGGGCTATTTTGTCCAAGGCTAAGACTTTACTGGGGTTGAAGTAGCTTNTGGAAATTCCTTGGACGCTCATCAGCCGAGCATCTCAACGTTTCGAACTCCATTCAGTGACCATCTAGAGCCCCGCTGAAAATCGCATAACAAAGTTTTCAGTCTTAAGACGACCTGATCTAGGGGGACTGTAGCCTAAGCCTAGAAGATCAGAATTCAGGTTATGTTCTTCTGAGGC